CAAGCAACGACAAGCAAGCAACGCCACAAGACCATAATGAATATTTGAGCGTATTTATAATAGAAAAGGAAATTCCTTCTTTCATTATGACTAGGCATTGACTCGCAAAAAATGAAATTATGTTAGCAAAGCATGGTTAGGTATAATATCTTCATCCTTCAGCCTATCTTTTAAAATTGCTTTCATGTCATTTATATTTGCTTGCATACGAAAGCGATACTTGTTAAAAGTCCTTAAGCTACTTAGGATAGATAATTGACTGAAGTACTCCAAAACGTTGAATTAAATGTGCCCAACTCGAGAGATGATTATGTTGACAAATACATGAATAAACAAAAAATAAATAAATAAATAAATAAAAAAATGAATAAAAAATAAAAATAAAAACACGTATCCTCTTTAAATATTTTTCACTTGCAAAAAAACAAATAAATATCATATTTAATTATGTGCTTTGAAAATGCTGGGAATAATGTGTTTCGAAACGGACGATCAGGTAGCTCAACTAATTTTTAAAAGCGAAACTCGAATTTGGATTCGAGCTATTTCTAATTAACATATTTTTTCCATTAAAGGTGCTGCAAAAATTTGTTTCTGTTTCCTTTTCTTTTTCTCTCCTTTATAAAATTTTCATGCACTTAATAAATAAACATACATAAGCACACACATAGAAACCAATACATTAATATGCAAATACGAGAGGTCAGAATTGGTAGCACGGCAGCACTCGGAATATAGTAAAGCAATAACTTATACTGGCAAGAGGCATTATTTTTATAAAAGAAAAAAAAAAAGAAAAAAAAAAAAGAAGAAAATCATGAAGCAGCAAAGACTATGCTAAATGAATAGAAATTAATTTTAACGTTGAAATCGTCGAGTGAAGTTTCGCAAGGAGAATCTGTATGAGCGTTGAGCGTTTGTCTTTTTGACGAAGAATTTCAGCAACGGAAGTAAAAGTTGGCCTTCATTCGTTTACAGCTAAACCTGAAATTTGAACTTTTTTTTTTTTTTTTTTTTTTTCATTTGATTTTCATTTTTTCATAAACGAAATTAATTCACTAATTTAACCCATTGATCCATAGCTTAGAGTAGCGAGAAAGAAAAATTCTTATTGAAAAGCAGAGCAGAGGAAAATGGAGCATCGCGTAACAGATATAAGTTTCATGGTTAATTTTTAATCAGTTTATATTTCCATTACTGAGAAAGCTGAATACGCTCACTGTGATAAAAGCAAATGAAATCTCTTTCATATTAAGCACTATGAAGATAGAGAGAAACGATAAAAATTTTACAAACTGTCTAACTGTCATTTTGCTAAAAGTTTTCACAAATGTTTAAAGTGTAGTGAGATGATTGACGCTCTACGTGTTGAACCAGCAGACACTTGATAATTGAATTTTTCATTTCGTGTGATGCATAGAAAAATGTATATATATATGTATATGTATATGTATATGGATACTTTTATAAATGCATATGTGTGTCTATTTGTGATACATTGTGTATGAAGAGAGAAAAAATAAAGATTGCTGAAGACAGTAACTTCAGGCAGACAATGGCCCAAAATACGTTCAGCAGTATAGCAGGTCAACAAACACTCGCAACTGTCACAACCAAACTTGAAACCATAAATGTCGAGTAAAATTCTAAAATGCTTACTCAATACGTACGCATATACACATATACAAACACACACACACACACACACACATACGCATACACACACCTTTTTCGAATTTTTTGTAAAGTCACCTATGTACAATATGAAGAAAATAAACTATAAAAAAAATATTTTAAATTGGTTATATATATATATATATATATACCATACATATACATATTTGTATGTATCTATGTATATACGCGGGTATATATTTATGTATATATGTACGTATATATGTATGTTTGCATGTGTGTGCGTGTGCATTAAATTACCACTTATATCTGTTTTCTTGGTTTGTTAGCTTTTCAACGTCCTCGGTGTACACATATTGTGAACGCGTGTATACATATATGCGAAAATATATCATACCCATACAAATATATTTTAAATATTTATAGCCGCCAATGGCGCGGTGGATTTATATTAATCTGGCCATTACGTTTGCAACAGCAAATACTGCACATAATAGAAATCGTGAGGTAGTTTAAGCTCATGTTGCTTTCTTTAATTGTTCGGTCATCTTGCTTTCGTATTCTTTTAAGTTAAGCGAAAACTGAAATATTTAGCTCAAATTTAATAACATATACGAACGCGTTCTAAGTTCTTGTTAAGTAAATAGATCGATAAATCGACAGATCTTCGCCAGCAATTTATGTAAGCTATATGTTTACTTCATATATATAGGAGATATCTGCAATTCGCTGCTAAGTCACTATAATTTTCTTATTCGGTATATTCGAGTAAAAGAAAACAGAGGTTCCTTTTTGGTATCCATATATAATATTATAACCCTAACGCGTTTGCCATTGTTTGTTCTTTGCAGTCCGTTGATATCAATATCTATATATATATATATATATATATATATATATCTTTCCCTTTATTTCCCTTCTGCATGTGCTCGATGTGTTTGACATCGTTTCGGTTCATGCTTAATGCAGACGTGGAAAGATATAAAATTGCATATATTTTATGCAAACGTCACAATGGACAATTTTTATAATTCATAACGAGTTTCATTTAATGTATATTTTCTATATCTTTTTATATTGTTTCGTTTTTCTCTCAGGAAGATGTAAATATATGCGCCAGTTATATGTATATATATATATATATATATGTGTATGTATTGAAAAAAAAGAAACAAAAATCAAGGAATGATTTATTCAGCACACAGCGAATTTTGGACAACCATCAGGTCGCTTGAAAACTGCGAACTCATTGCTTAAATACAAATTCATATAATCCGGAGCAGAATATATGATCACGTGAAGCATCCAATTTATCCTTAGTACGGGTTAACATCCATTATACATGCAAAGCTCTTCTTACGTCCTAACTAGGACTTTTAAAATCAATTACTTTACACTTTCTAAAGTTTGCTTATGCTCAATCATTTACATAATTCTAGCATTTTTCGAAATTCTTTATGACACTTTTTCGTATTAAAATCCCCAATTGATGACATAAAAGCGAATAAACAGTCTGTAAAGAAAATGATTTTTGTTCACTTAGTACTTTCAATTTCCGAGATTGTATTTATGGCAAAAATAGTTGAGCTTTACAATACAAAATATTTGGGTTTCCTTAATCGCAACCTCATTTTTCTTATTTTTTTTTCGATCATCGTTTACAAAAACGAATTGTTTTAAGTGAACTAATTAATTTAATATATCGCCGTTTAATAAGGTCGGGGGCATAAAGATGATACATAAATGGGAAAAAGTGAAAATTAAATCAGTAACGGATAATAAATTGAGTTAACCGGGTATTGGTATTCCACGCCGTAAAGACACTTTATTTTGTATTCATCATGCACTCTTCAATTCTGCAAACCGAATATCTCGTTAACACGAACACATGTGAAAATCATCTTACGGCGATTGCTGAACACTTATCACCTCTCATTGAATCTTGAGTAATATTTTGGATTTTATGTAATAATCTGCATAAAATTTAGGATTTCAGTGTCCAGCGAAAGAATGTTGAATTTCGACGAATCCAAATTTCTCTAACAGATTTTTAAAAGGAATTCAGCCGCTTTATCCTTATATCTGCTTGTTACAAATGATCGTACAATATTAGTATACTTTCTAGTGATATATATATATATATGCATACGTATATTGCACCTGTAACGGCATTTTGAACATATAGACATGAACGCATGCGTATATATGTATATACATATATCTATATTCGTAACAATATACAGAATAAAAAATAAAGAAAAATTAAACTTTTTAATCGTACCAATGTATGACATATATATGTAATTACATGCATTTCACGTACACAGAAATAGTACACTTGTACCCATTTATACCCATATATATATATATATATATAGTGCATACGTTAACAGCATGCATGTATGACATTATGAAAACTCAGCAGCATGTGCAACAGGAAGTTGTGTCGCACACACTCTCATAAATCATTCGGAAAATTGATGCAGCACTTTTACAATTGTACAAAACGAATACATTCATGATATACACTAACCGAAAAGGTCCATTCATACGTACATATACAACATATATATATATATATATATATATATATATGTCACCTAAACGTAGTTGATGTATACGCATACATACAGATGCTTACATATAAAGATATGTATACGTACATACATATATTTATATACATATATATTTATATTTATATATTATATATATATATATATATACGTATATATATATACCGAGTTATTCGTCGTCCATCCGCATGAATTCAACGGATACCTATGATTGTATGTACTGATGTACCGAGAACGTGTGAATGCCCCTGTGTGTACGTCCAAATACAAATTGTTATATAAAAATGTTGCATTACACGGCTTTTGTCCGTTTGGTTTTCTTTATTCCAGAAATGAAGTGACAACATAAAAATAACAAAAACAGCGATAATAATACCAACAAAGTGTATGCAAAAAACAAAACAAAACAAAAAAAAAAAAAGGAAAAAAATAGTAGAAGAAAAAGAGGAAGACGAATAATAACAATAACAATAAAAAAAGCTCATGGCATACAATTAAAATATTTAGTTTCCATTTAAAATTTTTTAATAGAAGGGACAAAGTAACAATAATAACAACAACAACAACAACAACAGCAACGAACAAACAAACTGAAGTTTAATAAAATACTGAGCGCGCAACTTTCAAATCAAAACCTTACAATATCCATTCATACGTATAACTGCAACGTTATTATTCCTGATCGCAAACAGAACAGAAGGAAAAAAGAAGAAAAATCGAAAAATAGGCAAAAGTTACATAAAAGAAAATAAATAACAAAAGCAATAAAAACAAACAAAAAAAAAAAAAAAAAAAATTAATTAAAAGTTTTTGCTGTTAAATAAATAATAATTGTTAGAGAAATACCAAGGATAAAATCCGTATATAGCAACTGGTTGCAGTGACTAGTAGTAGCAGCTCGAAAAAACATCAAACACTAAAAGTTCACATTTTGAAAAATCGGCTGTGTCCAAAACCGCATACCGCATGCATTTGAAAAAGTGTGCATTTGCATTTTATGTGATCGAAATATGATACATATATCGATGCAAAACATCCAATATTTGTATATGTATTGTTGTTATTACTGCTAATAATATATATTTATTAAACATCATGATTTTTCTCGTGACCATCATGCAAGTACTTTTGATAGCATTCAACCTATTTCCCAGTCGATTCACGAATCGAAAAGTGCTGTTCCTCGTTTACCTCACAAATCTCGTAACACATGGTAAGTCATTCTTCATAATTTCAATTTTTATTTATATATTTTTTTTTCCCCAATATTTTATGATTGTATATATTTTAATAATAAAAAAAAAGATGCTTAAAGTGGGCATAAATTCTTAAGCTCAAGCTTAGTTGGCTCAACAGCAAAGTTTCAAGTTGCCTTGTGAATCTTTCTTGAAGGAACAAGCAAAGTGTAACCACTTAAGATTATACGATGCATAAGAAAATGATTCGCCATTGAACATTTACTCTATGCTGATGAAGGACATTTTGCGGGACTATGATAGGGCGAATAATCTCGAGTATACTCCCGATTTCTATTTTGCGCCTTTCAGACCCTACTTTACAGAATTGATTTAAAATGTCCCCATCTCAAGCCAGCGTTTATTATGCAGGCTATGATAAATGTTGAAGTCAGATATGTCGGATTTGTCGGAGATGCAACCAACTTATTTACGTTCGTCATTTTATGCATTTATTGGATTGAGAGAAAACAAAAAAAGATCCTTCCAAAGTCAAAGAGATATAAAAGAAGGAAATTGACCAAACTTTTTACAAAACCCAGTGGATATGTTGTACTTGAGCGCAAGCGACCATTAAATATTATAAAGATGAAATTTCAAAAATTATGCTTTATGATCTTTCTCTTACCTATCCATGCATGAGAACTTTTACAAAAAGAACATCATTCCTTTCATATTTTAAATCTCTATCTTGTACTAACTTTCATTACAAAATACAAAAACTAAGACTTTGTTGCTGTGGAAAGGCGTCTTATACCCGTTATCGAAGGATGGGAGGTGTACTTTACGTCTCAAAACGTTTGCCACACCCAGAAGGAACCTTCAGAGACCCCACAAAGCATATATACATATATTCTTGATTAGCATCAAATTCTGAATCGAATTAAGCATGTCCCTCTGGCTGTCTGTCCGCCTGTCAGTAACGTCTGTTGTAAACATCCTCGTGGCTGGAAAAATGAAGCTATCGACTGGAAATTTGGCAGAAATATTTGCAAATGGGCCAAATCGCCTTTATAACGCTCACAATGAAACTTCAAAATCTTCATTAAGTATATACCTTTTTGCACAGTGTCAAATTATGTATGACCCCAAGCATGTCCGCATGTCCACAACTATATAGTATCTGCGAGAAATACGCTCCCGTCTCCGACACGCCTACAATGCAAAAAAAAATAAAAAAATAAAAAAAAAACAGCTGAGAACAACTTTACCCCGTATCTTTTTTGCTTATTTCTCATAAGTCATACTAGACACACGATAAAAATTTCTACTTTTATTCTGCAAAAATATGAAAATCGGTTACGCTCACTTAATACGATAGACTATTAAAACTTAGTTTTTTTTTTTGGTCTTCTTGAGGATAACGCTTATGGGTCAAAGCCGAACACAAGTTTCTTGCTTGTTTTTCTTCTTTTTTTTTAATCGTTTGCATTCCATGTCTATTTAATACGTGAAAACGCTAATCGTAGCAACTTTTCTAAAATAGAAATTCTACGTCGAATACATTATCGATAGCGTTCGGTCTTTATGCCAACATATCTGAAATAAATATCAAATTAAATCGAAAAAATGTTGAAAATTTACAAACCATGTCGAATATGCAGAAATATCCATCAGGGCTGTGCATATGTACAGGCGATGAACATAAAATGATTTTGTGTCTGAATTCCGAACCTTCAGTTACCATAAAATAACAGGTGAGCATTATCTGAAGTCTTTCCAAGTGTTGCAAATAACCACATAAACCCGGTATACCTTCATCTGATGTAGTGATGTAGTGTATAACGAAACTTTGCTTCGTTTAACTATTAATATAGAAGGTTTTCTAAAAACCATAAATAAATGAATATTTTCGTTAACTACGATATACATAAAAAAGATTGTTGTTGCTCTTTTCCTTTTTGTTTGTTCTATCTATTATTTAAGACCGATGGTGGTATACTAACATTTTCAATCCATTTGTAAATTTACATCTTTACCATGCGGAGATCATGAGTCGTTTGTGTCATTATCGTCTCTCTATTCAACCATCTCGTTCCATGTTTGTTTATAACGTCGATTCTCAGGCTCATCAAAATTAATCAAGAGCACATATTAATTTTATCAATGGGTTCATGTCGTCCGCAACCACGCCATCGGCAGCTGAGAAACGTAAAACTATTTAAAATTTGCGTGCACTTGGAGCAATTTTTATACAAATTATCATAGTTGCGTTAAAATAAAGTCTGAACAGAAACGCTACCACGCCCACAATGAACGTAGAACCACGACGACTTGATTCTATTGACATTCATTCGTATATCGTGTTCGCTTTATGGCAAACGCTTGTTTTTCTTACCGTTGGTATTACTTAAAATATATGTGTTCCACGCAACGATAACTTATTTATGCGAGTTTCTGTGAACTCTCAATATAAAGTAACATGTATCCTTTTGGTTTTGTCAAAAAAAAAAAAAAAAAAAAAAGCAGAAAAAAACACAAAAATAAGAAGAAAAAAGAAGAGGAATCTTTGTTTTTATCAAAAGTTTGAATTTCTTTGCGAATCATTTTTTTTTTTTTTTTTTTGATTTCTTTCCTCGTTACATATTTATAAGAGAAAAGTATCATCGAAACGGTCTCTGTACACATAAATTTCACGATTCTGTCTGTCTATGTCATTCTGTTCCGTTTCTTTGCTACTTCATCTTTGAATATCTTATTCAATCATATGTTGTGGCATTTAATAAATTTCTGTTTGCTCTGATGACTTTGGAGCAGTTCGAAACAGAGAGTTATCCCGCTGCGACGCCGTTGTGTAGAGAGTAGGATGCGTTCGTCGTCAACTCAAGCAATTCTCAAATTCTCTCGAAAATGATAGCACTCACACACACTTTTGTTTTTTTGCATTAGTTTCATTTCACTACAAAAGCATTCATGTTTGTGTATGCTTCCGTTTGCTTGCTTTCCATTTACCTGTGTTAAGAGTAAATGGAAGTATAAATAAATAAGTAATGATCTGTGGTTATGCGGTATACATGTACATATGTATTTATAAAAATAAGCTTTTATTTCTTTGTGTACACGACCGGCACTTTTATAAGTTCGATATGCGAGGAGCGTAAAATATTATATTTTATGGGTCCTCTGATACTCATAAACCGAAATATATGATGTATGCAATTGCATGGACTAAATAAAACAATTTTTGTATCATATTTGCAACCGACCACACCGCGACAGCTCAAATAACATTGAATTATTAGACAAAAGTTCACCACGAAATTTGATGAAAAGCGTACGTTTTGATGATGAATTCTTTATTAATTTAATAATGAAAGCAAGTTAAGGGATCGGAGATTTCTGTTTCATAGCGACGGTTAATTTAAATATAATTTTAACCCAACACACACCAAACCCAATTAACCCGAATAGAACGCACAATACTTTTGTGATGCCAGTTTTCAGCCTCTGGATTGTCTCCACAGTGGATGTATCGAAATTATTCTACCAATTGCTTGCAACTTTTGTCAGACCATCAAAAAGATAATAATGGTGGAATATGATACCATTTCCATTGATCAATTTTGGATGGTTTCTTGAATAGCTGGCTGCAGTAAAATTTGGTCAAAGAGTTCGAAGAGAAATCCATTGGCTTCAGACGCGGAAGAGGCGGAAGAGGCTTTTTTTTTTTTAAACCAGTTGGCCTCCCTCTTCTTCTTCTTCTTCTTCTTCAAGGACATCTTTAACTTTAATGAAATCTTATATAAGATTGTCTAAACTTTTTTAAGAAAAAATTGGCTTCACACTGGCACTTTCGGAAGTTTCAAATATGAGTCTTTACAGACTGTCGCTGAAAAACGATGAGCAGAAATTTTTCTCCATGTTTCTACGAATCTTTCGAAAAAAATTTGAGATTTATAATAAGAGTTATGGCCGCAAATGTTTTTGAGAAAGTTTTTGTGTTCTTAGGCAACTTCTGAACAACATAGCATCACTTTATCACTTCGCGCTCAAAGTTCACGTTTAAATTAAAAATGAAAAAGTATTGACGTCTCTTCTGCCTTTGCCTTGAGCTCATATATTATAAAATCAGTCCGCCGTGTAGATAACGTTCTGTCTCTCTCTCTCTCTTCGAAAGTGTTTGCCTTTGCGAAGCAATGCATCATTTATCTTACCAAATAATCAGTAAACTTGCATTCGATAGTATTAAATTTATTGTTAATTGATGTGTGTATAATAAATTCAGCGATGCCGTAAGGTTTAAAAATGTGGCAAAGTCTGAAATTAACGTCAAGCCGCGGTTTGCTTGCTTACAGCGCCAACCTAACGAATTTAACCATTTATGTTGCCTTAACAAAAAATTCATGTCATATCTTTTTATATCAAGCGAGTATTTAACGTCTGATATACACATTTATATATATATATATATATTAACAATTAAAGTGATATCCTCATGAACTTTTTGCTTATTTTGTCTCATCACGGTTACCAATGCCCATATTTTACTACAATGTATTGCAATACAGTGAATGTATTTTGAGGGAGGTGGTCTATGTACGCGTATATATATATATATATATATATATATATATATATAAATATATATAAGTGAATATGTATTCATGTTTATTTTTATGTGGCCTCCATAATAATGTAACTTGTTAAGTAAGATCGGTTAATGTATTGGTCTGCTTTCCTCGGCTCCGCTTTGCTCTGCTTTTCTATTTCATAAGCTGCTGCAGTGTATGCACAATGCTAGCGATACATGTCAAGTGCACATGTTGTGCTCTGAGCATTTCGTAATTTTAACCATAAAAGTTTGAGTAAACTTTTGCGGTTCTCCCAAATGAGCAGCGAGCATACAGTGCGTTAGAGTGGCAACTTAATTAAACATCAAGTCTTACCCTTGCAACTCATATTAGCCAAACAATGAATGTGCGCAGAGACCCGGGCAATTTGTGCTTTTTTTTTGGTTTTTTTTTTTTGGTTTTTTTTTTTTTTTGTTTACATATACATGGACATTCGCTTGGGCCACCCGTTACCGTTATGATTGTTCTAAATTCTTTAAAAATGTGGCAAAAGCAAGATGAGAGTGAAAATTTTAAATTTATTATAAGCGACATATACGCTCACGGACATAACAAGTCAGTAATAAACGACTTTAAACGAATCTAAACACTTATTATAAATTAATTTTAGTTTGCAATTCATTCTATTTGTGTTTTCTTTTTCTCTCTTTTTCATATTCATTATGTATCGGGTGCAGTTATGATGAACGAACCGCGCTTTGCTCAGCCAATACCCAATGTGACGGTAGCTGTAGGACGTGATGCAAATTTGCCATGTGTCGTGGAACATTTAGGCGGCTATAAGGTAACTTACGTTTATGTTTACGTTATAATTTCATAATAAATATATATCAGTCAATTTAATGATAATTAAGAATGCACAAAACATAACAAAGCTTCACTTTACGTATGTATTCGACAAAGAAGATATTTTATAGCCTGGCTCTCGTTCACCGTTGGAATTATCGATGCTAGCGTACACTACGGACTTTTGATATAAATGCTAAGAATAGTTTTATTAAAACGTGGACGAATTTATGACCGTTTCGAAAAGAATAGACAGTTAGGTGTACGGTATTGTATAAATGACGCCGTAGTTGACAAACATACACAGACTACGAAGATTTGGTTTTTTTTTTTTTTTTTTTTTTGAGTATCTGTTTGCGCCTTTTTCAACTCTCGGTCTCACGTTAAGATGCTTGCGTGCATTTCATGTCCATGTATGTAGAAATAGTAAATTTTGCGAGGCAGGGGAACATTTTGGCTTTCGTTATGTGGAATATTTCACGATATATACATACATCTCTTGTTTTCTTCCCCTGCGTGTTTTTTCTTTATTGTGCCGTTAAATGCGAAAGCATCAAAAGCCGGTGTTGCTCTCAATGCGAGACCTCTTGCCTTTCCATCCCTTATCTTGCGGCTTAACCGGTCCAGTATATCTTTAGCGGCGGGCTTGTCGTTTACGCGACGTTTGTTAACCTACATTGGCGATGTTCTATTCCTCTTTTCTTTAATGTACGAGCGCCAAACATCTCCACTGCTTTCCATTTTCTTAGGTCGTGCGATACGTTTGTCACGAAATAGTCAGGGCAAGGATAGACTTCAAATTCCATTCCACTTTTTTTTTTTGTTCTTTTGGACAGACAAGATATACATTCTCAGCATTTTCGTCGCATATGCAAAAACTGCCAATTGATCGTGTTTTACCTTAAAGTTAAGTAAGTGCGCCTGACAGAAGTCATAACGGTTTGTTATATTGAAGTAAACTTCAACATATTATTTACTGGACCATGTTTCCAGTTTTGGTGTGGGCCGATGCGTTCATCTAAATTTTTTTAATCTACTTAAGCGATTCTGTCATATTCCCCACCAAACTGGCTTTTGTCCGCTGTTTACCTATGCCAATCTGCATATTTTATGCTTCGGCTTTCTATGCGCATTCCTAAGCCTGCGATAGACGGTGCATGCCAATAGTTGTGCTTTGAGTGAATTTTGCCACTTCCAAGACTCGTATTCTACGAACGATGCTCCTACTCGTCCCATAAAAATATATGGCTCTGTCTATGGTCTCGAGAGTTCGATAATAGTCATGTCATCGCTTTTCTCACCCCGTAATAAGTCTGTTCCAAATGCTCTCTATATGTTAGTATGCAGTCGCTCGTTATTCCTTTCCGGTGACTTTGTTATTATACACCCACTTTAAAGGTGACCATGTTCCACTTTCTTGCTTGAGGTTATTAATCTGGACCTGAAAGATGTGTTGAATGCGTTCTCCGTTTTTGTCTTTACGCACTATCAAATCGGGAGAGCCTATGGCTTCGGGTATACCTTTATCTTTTGATACTCCAATCAATAGAACAAACCTTAAAATTGCCTGCGATAAGTGCCGGATTTTTCCCCTTACGTTTTTATAAGCGATTTCTTTTCTCGCTTCGAAATCGGCTGGATTGCCGCCATGCCTGTTTTGCCTTTTGTTTGCCAGCTGTTTCGATCGGCCGCATAATATGGTTCACTTACAATAACTATATCAATCGCTTTCTCTGACATTTTATTGATGCAGATTTAGTATTGAAAGACAAAAATTGATCATCAGTTTCATATATGACAAGTTCTGAGATTGCTGCCAATTGCTTTATAACGGCCATTCTAGCCGGCCAGTGGCTCTTGCTTTTATGTTTGCAGATAGAGGTAGAATATCATTCATTTGATGGGATGGTTCCCTATATTATAAGTCATTCCAAGAAACTTTTGAGTCACCTCCTTGACAAGTTTATAATCTCAGTGACTTTTATACAGTTAACCGAAAGGTTTCCTATTTCTCGTAAAACTCATCTCATCTCTCGGACTTGCCTAACTGAAGCAAAACTAAAGATGAGGTTAAAAGTTGCATCTTCAATGTTCTTCTGCTGACATTGTCACCCATTTTCGAAGTCGAAACATTATGCGCCAGTTATAAGATGATCTGGGTGAGTGTACGGAATACAAAGGTAAGTCAGACGTAAGTTGAACAACAAGGAGATGTTCAGATACTGGCTTATACATATATATATATGTACTGCCCTATATATATATACCTATAAAAAGCAAAAAGCCAGCTAACGTTTGACATTCGGTTTCTAGCATGTCGTTTGTTTTCGTTACGCTATCACCCAGCATCTCATCTATTCTATAAGTTCATGCGCTAAGGCAATATTTTTAGAGTTGCAGCCTGCTGTCACAGCAAATGCGTTTGTGTGTAAAAATGAATTCGCAACAATTCATTCATTTTGTTTTGTTTGATTCATTTGAATGAACGTTGCTTTGTTTTTCGCAGGTGGCTTGGATACACATCGATAGACAAATGATTTTGACTATACATCGACATGTCATCTCGAGAATACCACGCTACAGTATCACATATGACAATGCAAACACTTGGCTCTTGCATGTGAATCAGGCACATCAAGATGATCGTGGCTACTATATGTGTCAAGTGAATACAAATCCCATGATAAGTCAAGTCGGCTACTTGCAAGTTGTTGGTAAGTTGAAAATACAAACAATTTTCCCGTCAGAAACTTAACATAGATATATGCATGTCATGTGTATATCGTTACAGTGCCTCCGAACATATTGGATATTGAGAGCACTCCATCTTCGGTTGCTGTACGGGAAAATCAAAATATCAACATGACGTGCCGAGCGGACGGTTTCCCAACACCAAAAATAATATGGAGGCGAGAAGATGGCGAGGAGATTGCAGTCGAAAAAAAGAAAAAAGGTTAGCTTGGGCTGAAATACAACTAACTACACTCGGCTCTTACATAACAATTAAACATTTAAATATAGAAAAATGTACTTGAGTGCAGTGCAAGGTCGATAATCTAATTCAATTATATTTTCTATTATAAAAGCTGAGTGTAACGTTATAAATATATATATATGTATGTATATACATATATATATATGTATGTATATATATATATATATATATATTGTTTCATTTTCATGTGCAAGACTATTAATTATTATGACGTATTGTTTTGTTCTTCTTCTTCTTCTTCTTTGTTTTTTTTTTTTTTTCTATCCTTTTTTTCTTATATATGGCATCAATGGACTGTCTCGCTTCAATGTGTCAACGTTTCATTGCCTGGTTGAAATAATGGCGTCGTGCTGCCAACAAAAAATGTCTCCATCTATTAAAATGTTCATGACTTGTTTAAAAAAAAAAAAACGTGTACGTGTACCTCTACCTGCATGTTCGTGAATGTGTGTGCTTTTCTTTTATTTTTGAATCTTTACTGCAAGCTGCTATCAAACTATTATACAACATTACGTATCCTGGCCGCGCAAAATCTAATCTGTTTTTCTATATTTTTACAAAATATATACCTGGCCGGTGTATGTGTCCACGTGGACATATGTCCTTTATCTCCATTCTCATTTTTTGTCCTGTTTACTATTCCAAAAAAACTGGAAAAACTATCAATAAATTGTTTTCTTTTTTTTTTTTTTTTTGCTTTGTATGTATACACGTGTGTGTGTGTGTTGTCATGTTTTGCTTTCTATTTTTGGCGTTGTTGATACCATTGTCTTTTGCACCCATACCTCTGCGCATTCAATCTAATATACAGTTTTGGTGTATGATGGCGAAGTGCTACCGTTGACTAAAGTTAGCCGCAATGAGATGGGTGCTTACCTTTGTATAGCAACGAATGGCGTTCCACCCTCCGTATCGAAGCGCATTATACTGGATGTTGAGTGTAAGTAAATAATGAATGGACTTTCAGATTGCATTCATGTTCCACATTTATAAGCTAAAATGATGCTGCTTTGCAGCTCTAATAACAAACGATAGACATTAGGTCGTTTCATGTTTGCGTTCCTTTGTTGTTTTCGTTTCTTGATTTTTTTTTTGTTGTTTTTTTTGTTTTTTTTTTTTTTTTTGTTTTTAAATAGAGTGTTGTGTCCTTCTAAAAAATAGTGCTGGTGTGACATTTTTACAAAATCCCTTGAAGTATCGACTTGTTGGTGTAATTGCTGAAATGCCAGTGAGTTCATTGCAAGCCGTACGTCATGTCATGGTGAATAATTAGAAAAAAAAAAGACAAAGAAGAAAAAAAAAAAAAAAAAACTCTTGTGTTAAAAAAATATAGATGGATATATTTTAACACACACACACACACACACACACACACACACACACACACACACACA